CATTCAAATTTGTGACTAGGGAAGAACTTCTTTGTTGTTTTGAGAAATTTTTCAGCACCCCTTACATATTTATAGAGTTATTCAAACCCAAACAATAAAATAATAATACGTTGGAACTTGAAGATTTGTTGTCAACTGACCTATTAATTTTAAATTTGATAATTTTAGTAAGTCAATCAGAATATTCCATGTTATATCAAGCTCAAATCATTTTAATATTTAACTTGTAAGTCAAAGAGATTATTTCAACTCTTAAAGGAAAACCAATGTATCGTATTTAGTGGCATATAAAACTCCTCCCCATATACATTTAATAGTACAGTAGCATAGAATTAGGTTCAGTATAAGTATTAGTAGTCTATAGCATGTTGGTAGACATTTGCCTACCAAATACCTCAGCTACACAGATAATACAGTATTATAGAGTTCAAATAGGTACAAGTTCACGTTGTCTAGGACACCTAGCAAAAATTTAGCCTACCAGATGCCTAAAATTTGCATATAAATCCTAAAAGATATTTTTCAGTCATTTTCAAGGTGGCGGGGGGCAGGGTTGGTGGTATGCTACCAAATACAGTTATTCCATAATCTAATAACTCACATTCTTCAATTCCAGAGAATAATAAAATTTGGAAGAATTATTTTCGATTACTCATTTGCAAAATAAATTATTAGTTTTAAAAATAAAACATTTTACTATATTTTAAAGAACATACTGTATTGAGCAAACTGATTACAATAAATCAAACAAAAAAGAAAATCACTGATCAAGACTAATATTATTTAAAAGAAAAGAATTTTGTCAAGTCAAAAAAAAAAAAAAAAAAAAATCAGCAGCAATCAAAGCTTACTGTCCACAGCTTTATCCAACAAATGGTTAAAGTTATTGGTATTTATTTTAAAGAGAATAAACTAATAGCTACACAAACCCAATTCAACACAGTTGCTTCCTTCTTCCTACATTTAATAAAATCTCTTAATGACTTCATTTAAATTTGAATCACTTTTGCGGATATAACGTCTGCTTAAAAGATAGATGACTACTACTACTACTACTACAATCGTATAAGAAACATAAAAGATGTATATTGAAATAAATTAGAATGCATGGCATAGCTAAAAATATTTCAATAAAGATATGCTTTATTCTTTCAACTAAGAAATTTTACTAACAAAAACATTTTTAATAACTGTTTTTATAACTTATTTTTTTTACAATAATGTTGACTGTACAAAGCCCAAGAGCCCCTTGAGGTAGAGGATTACAGAGTAAGAGGTTCAGTTTATGGGGATATGTGGGGAAAAGAATGGTTAGCTATAGACTTGAACAGGTTAAGATTCTAGTGATCGGGGAAGCATCCTCTTAGAAGTCAGTTCCACAAAGTAACAGTTCTTGGAAAGAAGCTGCTCAAGTGATTAGGTTAGAAATGATGGAACTAAAGAATGTAGTGTTGCATAGCACCTTTGTGCTGGCGGGGAGGGTCTTGGGGCAACGGTCTTAATTTACTCATAATGTTGCCTTCTTTCTCGACCACTGATCAACAGTTATTTTGTTTGGGATTAAAAGAGACATCAACAAAAGGGAATTTTTAACTATTTTTATTCACCACATTGACAGGTACATCAAACTAGCCAGTGGGAGTCACTCTATCACCTCCATTAGGGAGCAATTTCTGAGACACGAAAGAAATCAAGTCTACATTCTTCAACATCCAAAACTCACTGAAATCCCTTTCTATCTCTAACATTCCGACGCTAGTTTTAGCCAATCAAAAATGACTTCCTTTGTTTTCCTGTATCTGACCTCAAAGGTCAAAATGAGGAAGTCAGAGGTGAAATACAATTCTCTAAAAAATAATATTCTGCTAGACTATTATTTAATAATCGTTCGTCAGAACACTTTCCATGGAAGTTGTGATAGAGGCTTGCAATATTTCATATGTGAGAAAGGGGTTATAAGGTGGCAAATAATTCATCACCTACAAGAACATGGAGACCTTTTGAACTCAATCAAGTTTGGAATTGAAAACTGGGCAGCTCCTACCCTATATGGCAGTGGTATTCCATTTTCCGCCAGATCTGGCTCTTGTAAAGGTTGAGGATAGCAGGAGGAGTACTTACTGGAGTGGTATAGGGAACTAACCATTTTTCCAACATCTTTAGTAATGTATCATATGTATGAGTTACACTTGAAGCCTGGGTTGAGATTAAATCGCAATAGGCATTCAAGGTATTCAGTCCTCCCTGAGAGTAGACATTCATTGTAATAGGTAAAAATTATGAAACACGATACAGAAGGAAATTATTTTATTTAAAAAGATATTTGCTTTTTACTAACTGCCATCTGTTCTGCCATAACTGTTCAATATTATGTTCAAGAAAAAAAAAAATGAACAAAATATGAATTCTTGCCTTTTTATGCAACAATTTTCATGCTTCAATTTCTTATAAAAGGAAGCATTTTATTGGATGCGTGTGTCTGTGCTCTCACCAAAGCAACTGTCATAAATGCTTACAGAAAAAATTTTTCAATTCAGACTCAATTGAGGAAAAATTCCCTGACAGATGATTTTGTGATACTGCCTTAAAAAATAAAATTATTATTAAAAACTAAAATGCTTCAATTGTGTTTTTTTTTCTTTTCTTTCAAAAAGAGATAAAGTACAGATGTCTAGGGTAGATTTAACTAAAATCATTTTTATAACTGAAAATGTGAAAATATCAAATATTTCATGACATTTACTCAACAGAATAAATTCTACACTTTACCATTCATTTATCAGCCACTTTTAATTAACAAATTACAGCCAAGCAATTTCTCTCATTTTAAGGGGGGGTGGATTTAAGCATCTATACAGGAAAAAAAAATCCAAAATGAGGTGATTCATTTACATGAAGTCACAAAGACTATAAATAGCTACAGCTATAGCCCATGAGGCAGCTGAGTGCATACTACATCCCATGAGTCAGTAACACTACACTACAATGGTGTCACCAATATCTAATGAACTGAATGAACAATTATTACTTGATAATTATGAATACACACAAGCTAATGCTAGAACAAAAAGGCTAAAGGAATTAAAATCAGTTGGAGGAGAAAAACAAATAACTTATCTCTTCTTGGCAACTGCTGATTGTGAGGCCATTATAAAATTATCAGCTATTGCACACCCAAGGCAGTTGGAGGAAATGACATTTGATGATATAAGTCAACTAATAGTAAAAAACATCCAAGAAAAATACTAGTGAATGCAGAGAGTGCTAAGTTTATGAATATTTCTCAAAAAGTGAATGAACTAGTTATCAAATATGTTCATTTAAAAAAGGCTGCTAAATATTGTGAATTTGAGTGGATTTGGAAAGAGTAAAATGAGTTTAATGGTGATTACAAATGTGTATGGAATGATCACTAGTGACGGCAACGTTATGCCTACATCTTCCCACAAGGCCTTCGACTAAACACAAAGAACTACAGCAAGTGTCTTGAGGAGGTAGAGCTGCCCTGGGTCAAGAGGGTGGCTGCTGGAATACCCTATGTATGGCAACAGGAATCTGCACCATGCCACACAAGCAGGACAACCAAGTCAATTTCTGCAACTACATCACCCCTTACATCTGGCTACCTAACTCCCCAGACTGCAACCCCCACCCATCTTGATATGTGTAGGACACAGTTGAGTGAGAGACTAACAAAACTCTTTATAACACCAAGGATGAATTGAAGGCAAGGATTATGGTGGCATTCACTGACAAGGAGACAATCCAGAAGAGTTGCAAGAGATTCTGAAATCATCTGGAGCCCGTGATTGAAGCCAATATCTTGGTGTAATTTTGACAAATATATCCATTAAAATGAGATATCAGTGTTATATTCATTTTTGCAAAATTTAGACAACAATTTATTCATGGCACCATATATATATATATATATATATATATATATATATAGTATTACACAATAAAATCCAAAATTACCTCATATGGGGAATAGATCTATTTCAACCAACAAAAACTTTGTCAGTCTTATTCAACCTCAGTGTATAGACTGAGTTAGTGTCAGAATTAGAAATTTATCTGTGACAGCTATTGAAAAACTAATACAGAATTCATCCATTTGAATGTTTCAGTCTGATGAAATGCACAAGACAGTGGTCAGGGGAGAGTGGAAAGTATCAACCTTAAAGAGAAGAGGTTTTATGAGATTAAATTCAGATATTAACCTTATGACATTAAATTGAGGTTATATGAAGAATGAAGTGTTAATTTGAAACTAAAAGAGGCCCAAAAAGGGAGTCTTATAAAAAAAAATTATAAAGAAGGTTAGGTTTAAAAATACAAGTTCCTACGTAAAAAAAATACTCTTCCAAAGATAAATTATACTTAAAAATAAGATATATATAAAATAAGTCATATTTGGACAATTTATATTAAATTTAAGTAAGAATATATTTTGTAAAAATTTCTAATTAATAAAAAAAAAAACATTTGTTAAATTAAAGAATAAAATATAAAAATATAAAGATAAAATAAATTATACATAAGAAAAAAAAAAATAGAAATTTTAACTTTAAAGATAAGTTAAATCAAAAACAAATTATATTAAAAAAAAAAAAAAATACAAAATTATATTTAAAATAAAAATTTTAAAAATATAGATAAATATAGAGAAAGTAAGTGATAAAAGTAAAGAGAGTTCTTAGGGGACAATTATAAGATATAATTAATATGGTGAAAAAAATGGAAATATAGAAATTAGAAATAGTTATACATTCAACATTTGAAGAGTTAGAGAATTATAAGGTAATAAAGTAAACTCTATATTATGGAAATTTTAAACTTCTATAATATAGATTGAACACAATGTAATATTAATATGGAGGGATGTTTTTTGTTCTTATTTTCTAATTGCTGTGTTATACGTCAGGAAACAAACTAAATGAATTCATTCAAGTAAATGGAGATGATAAATTAAAGAATCAAATGAAGAAGTCACTTACCTTTGCCCTCTTGCTTTTATTGATAGCCTGAATAAAAAAAAATTTAAAAAACATTCATTAATCAGAAATGAAAAGAAACACAGATTAAGAAAAGAAATTACAGACATGGCAGACAGACATATATTGTTATTTATTTTGCAACAGGATTGAATTATTTCTTCATCCAAATCAGAATAAATGTTTTACTCATAAAACAATTTTAAAAACTCAGGCAATGATTTCAAAAGTAAAGTTTAACATTTGTACCCTCTAAAAAAAAAAAAAAAAAAAAAAAAAAAAAAAAAGGTGTGTTCAAAGGAGAATTTTTATCTTGATATAACTGTATAATCGTTCAGTAAGTTTAATTGTTTTAAAAAATATATTCTTAGAATTTAAATAAAACTCAAACATGTGAAACTTGATTTATGCATTCTTTTTCCCCAGGAACCCAGCTATTAAAGAAAAATAGCCAACCTAGGGTAATGGTACTTCAACCCTTTTTGAAGTACACCCCTTGGAACATCCACACACTTATCCCAGCATCCATTCTACTTTTTCAGAGCAGTTTTGGAATGCCCATCATATTCTTCTTTATCTCATTAGAGAATAGCATAGACCAAACATGTGAACAAGTAGTTCTGGAGACACTTATACTTACTATCAGTTGAAATTTCTGGGGCACATAATGAGGAAGGAGGGCTTGGAAAATTTGATACTCACAGGACAGTTTGATGGTAAAAGAGACAGAAAAGCAACACACAACCTACTTATCAAGCTTGAGTGAATGGATGGTGGGGCAGGGTCTGAGAAAGATGGCAAAAACAAATTAAGAGCTACATAGGACAGGAAATTGTGGAGAGCTATGATCATCAATGTCCTGAAGAGACATGGCATATAGAAGTGTTTAAATGGTAATTTTAACTTGGAGAATGACAGGCATGGTTGACACAATGTGCCAAAAACTCGCATGGGACTTTGAAGAATCTAGTTTATTAGACTTTATGAATGTGATGGTGACATAATATACAAGGAGTCTCACCACCAACCGAGCTACCTCATAGAGTATCTGTTCATGCATATGCAGCAAATCCCTCAGGTTGATTGCAAGGTTATATTAATGCTGTACAACAGGTTCTTGAGGTATTCAAAATGGCTGGATGCATTCTGGATAGAACTTAGTCTTTTTGAACTGTTACATAATATCAGTCCTCCTATATGGTAGTGAATGCTGGACAATCTCCCCAGAAATGAAGAGGAGTCTTGAATCATCAGAAATGTGGTTCTGCAGAAAGATGCTGAAGATACCATGAAGCAAACATGTAAGCAATGACAAAGTTTTAGAAATAGGAGAAAATAACAAAACGACAACATTTATTAAGACCTCAAAGGACAGGAATTTGTGGAGTGCCATGATCACCTACATCCTGAAAGGACATGCCACATAAAGACTGCAGCAGCTTTTGTGAACAGATAGACCAGAGAAGGAAACTTGGGAAAGTAAATGTCAGCATTTTTGTTTACATGGTCCATTTCTTATTTTGAATTTTTCAGTGGTACCACAAAGACAAACATATATCCAGCTATAGAGAGCATATCTGGCACATGTAGTTATAAAATGAGCCCTATGGTAACGCTCCAATCTAAACCAGCAAATTTAACCAAATGTTTCTGGTTCCTGATACCATTTGATAAATGGTAATGTAATATCAATAAAAAAAAAAGTCAATAGTTACAAAATCCCTTCTATGGATCATTACACAACTCTTATTCAATGAGTTGTTTTTGATGAAGCCCTTTGACTGAAGCCTAACAGAGATCAGGACCATGTACAGTTTAACCTTTACCCCACCAAATTCTTTCTAGAACTGTTCCCTCTGCCACTGCATTTTTTTGAGGGCACAAAAAAATGAGCACCTACTGTTTTAAAATTGTTATAACTTTCTTTGTATTGTGCATATAGATTGTGTTTTTTGTATACTAATAATAGAATGGATGAGTAATATTTTGATGTAATGCATTATGTTTTGCATGCATTAAAAACAAAAAAATTGAAACACAAAATAAAAAACAAATACATTAACAATTTAACATACTTTAACTTTTATTACTCCTTGTGGAGTTCTGGGATGCAATAAGAAGCAAAATAGCTAAGAAAGCTTTTGTCAAAAGTGATGTCCTTCCACAGGTTCACATATGAGTAGACACCAGCATTTGATCTTCTACTTTCCTTCACCTGTTTAGTATATTTATTTGTTTCATTGACAAATAAAGTTATTATTTTGTTGTTTATCAATGATGAAATAATTCACCTTCAGAAAGGCTGTCAGGTACATCCATGGGACCAGTAGCTTACATAAAATTAGTCAGCTATGGACAATAGTAGCTGCTCAGCACTTCATGGTCATCAAAGCTTTCCTTCCGGTCATTAGTGTGGTTATCATCTCCATCTGTGACCACTTCATGGCTGATATCCACTTAAATAAAGCCTTCAAAATCATCATCATCGGATTCCAGATCAAAGAAAAACTCCTTAATAAAAGTTTCATTGGATGTTAATGCAGTCATTTTTGTTTACAAAATAACACAATAAAATTAACATGAGTTTAATAACAAACCACACGTAGAGTGTAGAAGAATTTAAAATGGTGTTGGAAAATGAAAGTTTAGCCTCATTTCAAAGAGGGAGTAGGCTATTTCCAGTTTAAAATACCAGAAATAACAGTTGACAAGTGTTTATTTATAGCAACCCTCTCAAGGCAATAGAATGCACCTACAGCTGCAAAGGGAGAGTGACAATTTTAGCCTCCAATGAGATAAAGGTTAAATTCAAAGCTGTCTTTCTCTGAGACTGATTACAAACTTGAGTACATTTTCCCCTGCTATTTAATCCATAGCTGGGAGAAAGATACTTTTGTTAAAAGTAATTGTACATAGGTGTATACAACATGCCTGAAATTTGAAATCTGCTCTCTAATTTGTCATTCAAAGTCATTATCCAGTATACCACCAATGCACCCATAATGTTATGTAGAGGTAATGCAAGTTACAATTGTTGTGAAAGATAAAATCCCCTTTCCCTGCACTCTGTCTCAATGACAAATATATTATGTTCAGTCACTGGTATAACACTGCTGTGCATGAATATATGCTATTGCTTTCATTTACAAAGTGAAAAGTTATACAACAGAAAAATATAAAAAAAAGTCCAAATAAACCACAAAAGTCTTCATATAAAAAACAATTGAATATATATATATATATATATATATATATATATATAAAGAAATGGACAAAGTCCGACAATTTATTTATTAAAGACATTTTTATGTTTAACATTCTTTTTATAGATAAAAGTATTTAAGTAAATGCTCTGTTTATAATAAACAGTATTAAATAACATTTACCGGCCTGAATGTATAGAAATTTTCATAGAAAATATTCGATCCTTTGACAGGATCGAACCTGCATCCTATACGGAACTGTCATTTGCTGGCGTGCCTTGACCACTCGGCCACAAAGGATCGTTCGGTTGGCAAGGTTGAATTTACTGCTTTATAAACTTTTCAATTCAACCTTGCTAACTGAACGATCCTTTGTGGCCGAGCGGTCAAGGCACATCAGCGTAAATGACGGTTCCGTATAGGATGCAGGTTCGAATCCTGTCAAAGGACGAATATTTTCTATGAAAATTTCTGACATTCAGGCCAGTAAATGTTATTTAATACTGTTTATTATAAACAGAGCATTTACTTAAATACTTGTATCTATAAAAAGAACGTTAAACATAAAAATGTCTTTAATAAATAAACACACACACACATATATATATATATATATATATATAAAATGTTCAAAGTGTACATGTACCATATTTGACGGCATATAAGACACATGGGTGTATAAGATGCACCCGAATTTCAGCAGGGAAAATAAAAATTAAATTAAAAAATTAGTAATTAGTAAAATTATTAGTAAATGGTATAACCTAGGCTATATTTATGAGATATTATTTTGGTTAAATGTTAAAAATTCAACGAAAAATAATAGGAAAAAAAAAAAAAAAACTTAAAGGTAAGAAAACAAAATAAAAATCAAGCAATTATTACAATTGAGTAAAACAGAAGAGTTACCATTAAAATTTTATTCATCTTCAAATCCATAAAATTCATCATCATTGAAACTCTGATACTCATTTTCTATACTATTACAATCGTCATTAAATAATATGTCATCTTCCATTCCATTGAGAGCTTTGATAATGCCACACTTTTTAAAATATTTCACAATTTCTGGTTTAATATTATCCCAAGCTTGCTTCACCCATTTGCAGACTTGTACAATGATTCTTCCTGTAAGTCTAAAGGTCGTTATCAGGCATTGCCATCTACATATTCCATTGCTCCTTCATTTTTAAGTCTAAGCTAATAGGAGTTGCCAGGTAGTTAATTTTGGCAGACTATTGCAAATTTTAAACCTACGTATGGCATATAAGACACACAGGAATTTTAAAAGGTATTTTTAGTAAAAAAAAAAAGTGTGCCTTATATGCAAATACGATATTTCTTTGAAAGGACTAAATATCTGAAACAAAATATGTTTGTACTTATGTTAATTGTCATGAGTCTGAATACATACATCTTTCTAGTTTGACTGCTAGGAGCTAAAGAGAATGTTTGACTTTTGCACCTAACGATCTCTCGTGTAGTTCTTGTGACGGTATTTTATTCTCATGATTATCTATATATCTATTTTTAGCATTTGAAAGAGATAGTCAAGGGGAGATAACTTTTTATCTCTCACAACAATACCGTGGCTGATAGAAAAAAATGGTTGAGTAAATAACTTATGTAAATCCTACCCAGGCAATTGCAGCAAAGAGGCTGTTATTACCCTTACTGATCTTGACAGGAATCAAGCATAAAACTTAATGATTCTTGATAATCATTCTTCACAATGATTTTCTAACACAATAAAACTGACAACAGGCATAAACAAAATACAAACTTGAAAATGTCTTTTCTATGTGCTATGTTCCTTCAGGACATGGA